GCTGGAATTAGAAATGGGCATGAACCTCATTTCGGTGGTTCGGCCCATTTTGTCATGACACACAGGCGTTCTGTGGCTATACTTGCCCCTCGACCACCTCCTCTTCATACTTGCCCATTCCTCGGGCAAAGTGCGCTTCCCCACACCTCCTTAGCACGATTGTCTACTCGCCAATCACAGCGTGCACTTCCCTCTTAGGCCTCGTCCAAAGGCCGCCCACTTTGAGGCAGTGCTGCAGTCCTTCCTGCCTGGCCTCTTCATCTGAGTGGCCATCCGTTGGAGGAGGCAGAGGAGGGGAGCGCGTGCTGCGAAACACCTGTGTGGGTGCCAGGTGGAACTGGGACAAACTGCAGTTTAATAAACAAAGGGTTATGTGTCAGCTAACTGTATCCACAATCTTTTGCACCAGTATGCTCTTTATCTCAGCAGAAGTCTACTTAAAGTGCTGCCTGGGAGGCAGTCTTTCCTGTTCTCTCTCTCCAACACCCAGAGCTGCCACCTCCATCATTCTAAAGTGGGTCTCAAGCTTCTGGAGCAAATCTCTGTCTATGTCTCTGCAGAAAAAGTCTGCTGGATTGGGAGCCATCTGTGGAACCCCTGCTTTCTATGGACAGAAGACAGTGGATCCAGGTCTTTGTTTGAAGAAAACGCTACCTTTAGTTTTTTTCGCAGGAGAAAGGGACTGTTCTTCCCACTGTCTTTGACCAATCATATAGGCTATAGACTTCCTTTCGTGTGGGAAGGCAACCAAGAGCTTGAGTATATTACCCTGCATCCTCTTTGTTAGATGCATCACTTGCCTCATTTCTCACTGTTTCTTCTCTTCATCCTCGAAGCTCCTGTCTCTGCTAAACCCCACCCTCAAATTCTTTCTTTCCTCTTCTTCTGATCTGCCAGAACACACAGATACTCAACCAAGGAGCCATCTGCCATCCTGATCCCAGATAGGTATAGCTGCATTCTTGGATGTCGAATGTGTGTTATAAAATGGATTTTGGGAACAAGGAGTGTGTAACTTGTTAGTCTCATGTAGAGACTCCACACATTAACTGCATAAGGTTTCATAGATGGCTTTCTACTAGAGATGGGTATGAATAGGTTTGTCCCACTTCGTCAAAATTGCCTCCCTCCATCCCCTGCCAGCTGGCCTACTCACAATCTGCCAGTCGTCCTTCTGGGGTGGCTGTCCGCCCTGGGTAGGAGCTTGGGCTTCCCTTCCCTGCCTCCTCCAGCACCCAACCAACCACTCATCAGCTGCACAGCAAGAATCCCCATCCCACCTCCTCACTTGAGTGGTTGGCTGCTGGAGGAGGTGAGGAAGGGAAGCCTGAGCTTCTGCCCAGAGTGGGCAGCAGTCCCAGGAGGATGACTCAGATGGTGCACAGCGGATTGTGAGCAGGCCAGCTGGTCGGGAAGAGAACATTTGGCACCTGTGGTGCTGCATGTACAAATTTTGACGAAGTGAGCAGAATCAATTCGTGCCCATCTTTGCTTTCTGCAGATGGTATCAGAAAAAAGGAAAATAGGCCTGTGGCACTAGAATCGCAGCAATTTTGGAATTTCTGTGGGAAGGAATGGATAGAGTACTGGCACCCAGCACTCTAGAAAGAAGTGGTAGTTTTAGCTTCAGTTATGTCATGTACTATGTACATGCCTCATTATAGTAGTTTTTGAAACTGATATTTCTAAAGTGTCATTATAGTACAGTAGTTTTTGAAACTGATATTTCTAAAGTCCCCCACCTACTATCCACAGCTGTATCTTTTTTGAACTCATGTCTAACTGTTATAAACCTTTATTCATATAAACCTTTATTCATATAAGCCTTTATGCATATAAACCTTTATGCAAAGTCTTGCTCAGACATTTGTGCTGATAAATGTTATTTCACATAGCCATACTCTGGTACATAGGGTCTCAGAATTAGGAGTCTTATTGATCAGACCGCAGCATTATCTTTTTCATCTTGACCCAGTGATATTACAGTTGGATCTCTCCTTTTACTCAAGATGGAATAAACATCCCAGGAAACCATTCTGCCCTCTCTTTATCTTAATGCTTCTAGACTTCTGGAACAAGAGAAGTGTACTGTAGACATGCATAGAGTGGTCAAAATATACCTTTAAAAGGACTAGGTCTCTCTTTGCCTCTTTTCAGCTGCAGATTAAGGCTTGCATTGGCTTCTAGTATGAAAACTCTGATATTATGTGTTTGTGTGTGTGCGCACGCCATCGAATGACCTTTTCCAAGGTTTTCTAGGTAGAGAATACACGGAAGTAGTTTACCATTCCCTTCTTCTGGGGGCACCCTGGAATTGTGCAGCTTGCCCATGGCAACACAGGGTGGCTCTTCCCCCAGGAGGCACAGTGAGGAATCGAACTCCCAACCTCTGGTGATGTTACTACCCATTCCACAAGAAATGTCATCACTTTATTAAGTTTTGGGACAAGGATTCTTCTGGTGGACCTTTTTAGAGTGAAATGTCATTGAAGAAGTGTCCCAGTGCTTGATGCAGGATGGAGAACAAGCTGTTGTTTGGGCTTATTTCTTTCAAAGGATGTCTTTCTCCCCTATGGGAAAAAGTAGCGTTGGAACTTACTATAATATGCTCCTTCTACATATGGGAATAAGAACATTCTTCCCAGGACAGTGCCATGAATTAAGGTGTGCTTCAGGAAAAGAGATTCTTTTTCTATATTGGAGCCTTGGAGCCAGCCAATCTTCCATTTGGAGATTTCCATAATGGTATGGTATGGTTTTCAAATTCTCTTGTTTTTAGTGAGTTTTCTTTCCTTTCTTCACTGTGGCTTGGAGATACAGATTCATGCTCTGGGTTACCTTCCTGTGAGAAGTGGGACACAGAGGAGACCCCTCAGTGCCGTCCCGTCAGTCATGCAGGAATACTATAACAGAGAGATGTTGCCCTGGCAGAAGACATGCAAGGAATTGCAGAACTGATGCTGGTGGTGGTGGTGGGTCCGGGAAACAAGAGGAACTGTTAGTGGATGGGTTTTGGCGGGAAGAGAGGAGGATAAAAGGAAGGGGGCAGGAAGAGAAGGGAAAGAGAAGAAGGAAGAGGTAGAGGAAAGAGAAATCAAAAGGTGTGGGAGGAAGAAGTGAAGTCAAGTGATCCGCCTGCAACAGAGCAAGGCCAGATAGTTAAGGAAGATCCCTGGACAGGGGCATGGATACAATTTAAGGTACCCCAGTAAATAGTTGAGCAGGAGTAGGGCAGCAAGTCAGTCCACAAACCTCCCTATTGGGGAGAAACAGTAGAACGTGAGGCAAGAAAAAGAGAGAGGGAGCATAGAAGAAAATAACTTGGTAATAAAGAAAATCATGAATGTTGCAGTTGCCAACCTTGGACAGACAGTTTTCCCTCCAAGACAATGCAAAGTCCTGGCCGTAAAGATATGAGAAGCGTCTGGGGGCTGGGTTTATTATTGTTAAAGCCCAACACATACCAAGCTCTAATACTATCTCTCACGTTACCACCTGATGGGACTGTTAGGTGAGGTCAGGGTTCCCCATGACTTTTAGTCCAGTCACATCCAATTCTAGGGCTCAGTGCTCATCCCCGTCTTCAAGCCGTAGAGCCAGCGTTTATCTGTAGACAGTTTTCGTGGTCATGTGGTCAGCATGGCTAGACATGGAACACCATTACCTTCCCACCAAGGTGGTACCTATTTATCTACTCGCATTTACATGCTTTTGAACTGCTAGGTTGGCAGGAGCTGGGACAAGCGATGGGAGCTCGCTCCGTCGCATGGATTCAATCTTACAATTGCAGGTCTTCTGACCTTGCAGCACAGAGGCTTCTGCAGTTTAACCCGCAGCGCCACCACGTCTCACTGACAGGAGTGTTACTCTCCCTTAAAGGGGGAAATGGTGAAGAAATAAAAATAAAAGATAAAACCCTGGGAGAAGAGCTCCCAGAGAGAATGGTGTTAATGACTGCGGCCAGTTTCTTAGTTATTGTTAAATCTAAAGGTGCGGTTGTGCCTGATGTGTCTACACTGAAGGGTGAAGTTGGGGAGGACATGGGAACCACTCACACTCCCCCTACTAGAGGGAGCCTAGAGTCCATTTGATTGGTGAAAAAACAAAGTATGTGGGAGGGACAACATATTCTGTGAATGTCTTTCTACTCTTGTGCAACAGGAATGTATTACTGTAAGTTCCAACAATATTTTTTCATTATTTTTTTCTGTATCTATTATAATAATCAGCTGGAATCAAAACAGCACTGAAGATAAGAACAATCTTATTGCTTTAAAAGTTTTGCTTGTTTAAAGCTTTAGTTGACACATGCAGCTCTGTAATATTAAAATGCATAGATCGTGGATCTTTAAACACTATGTTTTGCATTGATTTCAGCTTTAGCAGCTTATTCTTAGAGAGATTCAGGGTTTTTTTTTTCAAACAGGGTGGTGATACCAAAATAATAATTATGTGCCATCAAATTGACTTTTACTTAGGTTGCTATAAAGTAAGAAATGGTTTACTAGTACTTCCATCTAGTGTTGCTCTAGGGCCATGTAGCTTTCTCATACTTAGGTTGCTATAAATTAAGAAATGGTTTACAAGTACTTCCATCTGGTGTTGCTCTAGGGCCATGTAGCTTTCTCAAAGGTGAACAAATGGCAGAGCCCTTAACCCCATTAGCTTCACATGCTTTGGATGATCTTGTCTGGCTCTTCTTCTTGGAGGCACAGTGGAAATTTAAACTCCCAACATGCAAAACTTCCACTTCCTGAGCAAACAAAATAGGTAGGGGGAAATGTAGATGTCAATTAAGAATTAAATCAATTAAAGCTAGCCTCTTTGGTTATCAAAAAGGACGGAATTCTAAGATGGCAAACCAGAGTTACTGGGAAGTAAAACCAATGTAACTTTTAACCTTTACTTCCAAATATATTTTAGGATTTGGGTGCAAGACAGGCACAAATGTTTTTGCGGGTTAATTGCACAGTGCCAAGAAAAAAATTATTTTTATTCAGTTCTAGACTTCAACGATCCGTTTAATACTGAAGTCAAGCCAAGAATCCTGCTCATGGGACTGAGAAGAAGTGGGAAATCTTCCATTCAGAAAGTCGTCTTTCATAAAATGTCACCAAACGAAACCCTTTTCTTGGAGAGCACTAACAAGATCTGCAGAGAAGATGTTTCCAACAGCTCCTTTGTTAATTTTCAGATATGGGACTTTCCTGGGCAAATTGACTTCTTCGATCCTACATTTGACTATGAGATGATTTTCCGAGGCACTGGAGCACTGATATTTGTTATTGATTCTCAGGTAAAGAAAAGGTTAGGATGATGATATAAGGGTAATTTTTATTTTTCTTGTCTGTATCCAGCAGCCAATATTTCTACACAAAAACACAATCTGGCAATAGACAAATAAAACAAATGATGAAAAGGAAAGCTATATTTAGTGCAGTTAATGATTTCCCAGGTCCAGACTGTATCCAGAAAACTGCAAGCAGAGTTTTCCCTCTGTAGCAGAATGTTTTCCTACCTTCTTATTCCTAAGCCAGCACTTTCACCTGTCCGAAATCTGCGTTTGATTGTTCTTAGAACCTCTGGAGCAGTTCAGAGTATGATATGGACAACTGTAGCTGGGAGGAAGGGTTGGTAGAAATAGGGGGGGGCGCTCCCCTACCTAGTTGAAATAGATTTTCTGCCTTGATCCTGCTCTATATTTTCATCTAGAGTAGTGGTTCCCATCTTGGGTAGCCCAGGTGTTCTTGGACTGTGATCCTTGGAAGCCTTCAACACCAATTCTGCTACCTGGGGTACCACTGATCTAGGCTGTTTCAGTATAAATAACACATTGTGCTACCGTTCTTTATTCCAGTTATGTAAGAGCCTGATCACACGAGCCAAAAGAACCCCAGCTCTCACGATTCTTTGCACCTCTGTTGTACTGAATCGTGTTCATGTGGTATATATATCAACAGGAACAGTCCCATTTATTTTAATATTACCAACTAATCTCTTCCTATTTGTACCATTGTAGCAGGCTACACTGCTCTTAATTTTGTATCAGTTCATTATCTTCAACTGCTTCTTGGGACAATCAGGCCCCCCTCCTTGTGCTTTAAAAAACAAAACAAAAGTAGAACATTGATAGCCTTCTCTCCTCTTCTTTTCCCTTCCCTCTTTTATTCTCATAACCAAACCCCTTTGCAAGGATTAAAAAAAGAGAGAAGAGAAACAGGAAATGCCTCTGCTCAAGCCCTCCACAGGGAGGGGGGTAAGGTTGTTTCCTTCAAGCTGTCTCCTGCCATTTTTTGCTAGCAGCAGCTAGTTGACTATTTAAGGGATTGCCTGTCTTGTTACAAGCCTTTTTGTTGAGATACCTTTAAAATAAACATAATTTTTGTAAAAAGGGTACAACTGCAGTGGCCATTAAATGGCTGCAGCATCCAGAAACCCGGCCCCTTTGCAAAGGAAATAAATTGACAACAATGTTCACACAGGCTGAAATAGTAAGGAATGGAGCACTCCATCATTGGTGCAAAATAAAGCAAACCCCCCCAGTGGGTGGGGGGAATAAACTGAAAGTAAACCACTGGCCGGGAAAATGAGTTGATTATGGCTGTGCATCATGTGACTCGAAATTTATGAAATAATCTAACGGGGGTTTATTTGGCTCGTGTGATCAGGCCCTAAGTCTTATCATAGTACTAGCTTTGTATGCTCTCCAAAATTGTATGAAGAATCTCTAAGGATCATAGCAATAAATAGTGAAATTAAATAGAATATTTCTTTAATTTTTCATGCGCAAAGGATTTGAATATTTGTTCAACTAGCTATACTTTCTTGTTCTTAGACTAAGATCATGAAAAGATGGCCAGGACAGAACCCTTTCCCCTAACATACTTCTTTTACTGTGTGCAGGACAATTTTGTGATTGTACCGATATCTGGAGCTCTGCTCAATAGCTGTTAAAGATATAGAAAACAGCTAAAATGAGAGACTATAACCCATCGGTTGAAAATGAATGTTAATGTAGGAAAACTACATATTCCCTAATAAGCACTATGGGGAAAGAAAAGTAGATAAAGTGTGTGAAGAACTTAATATTTGTTAAGCATTTAACAGCTGCATAATTCAGTGGTTTAGGCAACTGGCTGAGGAGCCAGAACTTGGGAGTTTGATTCCCCCACTATGCCGCCTTGAGAGGGGCTAGATTTGATGATCCATAGGGTCCCTTCCAGCTCTGCATTTCTAAAATATTATTTATTGCTTTATTAAGGGAATTTTTTTAAAAGGAGGCTTGTGATGTTGGAATGCTGCAGAGATTTAGGCCTCAGTAACTTGCTTAGGTATTTCCTATGTTGTAATCTTGCTTATGAATATTTTTAAATAAAAAGCTAATGTGTTCTGATAACAATGTAAACATAAAGAAACATCAGTTCTTAATTACTGTTAGTTTACAGAACTGAAGCACTTACCCAATTTACTTTTGTTTGTAGGATGACTACATGGAAGCATTGGCAAGACTCCATCTCACTGTTACAAGAGCGTATAAAGTTAATCCAGATATAAACTTTGAAATATTTATTCACAAAGTAGATGGCTTATCTGATGATCACAAGATTGAAACACAAAGAGACATTCACCAGAGGGCAAATGATGATCTTGCAGATGCTGGGTTGGAAAAAATTCACTTGAGGTGAGAAGATACAGCAATTAATAAGGCTATTGGGGGAAAGAAAGAATGAAAGAGCAATATGCCATTAAATGTTGAAGTGAAAAACTGGAAAAGCAATGAAAACATCGGAGACATGAATTCTTAGAGAACAAATTCTAATAGTGGTACATGGGTATCATTGATACTCAGTAGGATTCTGATAGCAGTGCTAGTTAGATATGCACTGGTCAAGTAATTTGAAATGTCAAACTTTAGAGACTTGAGTGGAATCCTACGTCCCTAGAGCTTATATTGGCATGGGGTACCCAACAATGTTTGATTATATGTGCTAGTCCAGGGATGGGTGCCCTATGGCTTTCCAGATCTTGTTGGAATTCCATTGCTACCTGACTCAGCCAGCATGACTGAGATTCATAGGAGCTGTGCTTCAACAACTTGGGGTGGGGGCATATGTTCTTAATCCCTGCATAAATATTGCTGCATTCTTATCACTCCAGATCACTTGACATCTACCACTTGAACAGCTTTTCGAGAATATATTTTTCCGTTTTACTACAGCGATACACCATGTGGCAAACTAGTTAAACAGTACATTGTTGATGTGATTTGTCATCAAGATACCTGCAACTTACAATGGTCCTAATAGCGTAATTGAGATATATGGGAGGTTTAAGGAGTGGTTTACTATTGTCAGGCATGCACATACACACACACCAAGTACAGATCTGAACTCAGATGTCCTGAGTCCTAGTCTATCCATTATACTACATTGGCTCTCAAACATATAGTATAGAACTTCAATTGATCTCATATGATAATCAATCCAACTCAGGGGGGAATTGCTTCTCAAGATGCTACAAACTAGATTTCAAATACAATCTGTGTATAACCCCATAAATCCCTCAAGTGCCATATCATTTGGTTATAAATAGGAAAAACAATTTTAAAACAACTTATATACTCTATTTTTATCATTTATTTGGTTTCTACTGTGCGTTCCAGCAACAATTTTAAAGTAACTTATAAAATATATGGTACAAAAAACAAAACCCATTTTATGCCATTTTGTCATATCCTCTATACATTTTAGCAAACGTAACATAAATATTCATTTCAAAGGAATCTAGTAATGGTAACTGCTTCCTTTTTCAGCTTTTATTTAACAAGTATATATGACCATTCTATATTTGAAGCATTCAGCAAAGTGGTACAGAAATTGATCCCTCAGCTGCCAACACTGGAGAACCTGCTGAACATCTTTATCTCGGTAAATACTTTTGTGTATGGGTGTGCTGCATTTCATATATTTTATTGCAAAGGCATTACCTCATTTTTTAAAATAATTCCATTTTCCAAAAACATATTGGCCTGTTAGGAAATCTGGAAAAGAAAAATGGGCTTACTCTTGCAAATATCTTTTTGCACACATGTACATGTTTGTAAATAATAATTTATTATAGATCACAACCGAATTTCACAGTACTTTGGTTGAAACTAACAGTTATCTGTGGGTGTTTAGATCCTTTCCTACAGTCCCTGCTACTAATCACGTATACTCTTTCAGTGGTATTCAAAAGTATTTAGTCATGAGTGACATCGGATGAGACATGCCCAGCCATATCTATCAAACTCTAGCTTACCAATATTATATATATTTAACCAGTTTGTATTTTCTGTCGGCATGCATGGTTAAAGAAAAAAAGTTATTCTATTTATTGTGTATAGTTTAGATTCTTTTTAATGAAATATAATATTTATTTTTTCCTTCTAGAATTCTGGTATTGAGAAAGCCTTTCTCTTTGATGTCGTCAGTAAAATTTATATTGCAACGGACAGTACCCCAGTGGACATGCAGACATATGAACTCAGCTGTGACATGATAGATGTCGTCATTGACATTTCCTGCATCTATGGGTAAGGAATATAGTTATGCTTTTTGTGCTTGTCTGTCACTCTAAGCAATCTGTATAGTTAGAGTTGTTTGACAGTTAAACTGATTTTTAAAGGAATCACGTATTTATTTCATTTATATCCTGCCCATTTAGACTGAAGTCTACTCTGGGCGGCTAACAACAATATTAAAACAAAATAAAACAACAATTTTAATACACTAGAGCAGTGGTCCCCAACCTTGGGCCTCCAGATGTTTTTGGACTTCAACTCCCAGAAATCTTGGCCAGCAGAAGTGGTGGTGAAGGCTTCTGGGAGTTGTGGTCCAAAAATATCTGGAGGCCCAAGGTTGGGGA